GTTTTTCTTTGGTCACAGGTCTGCCTCTTTAACAATTAGAATAAACTCTAAAAGAGTATCCACTTCAATAGCAAAATCTCTATTATTTTTCAATTTTGGGGCCATCGTTGAAGCCTGTCTGGTAATACTAAGCAGGAAAGGGGAAAAAAAAATCACATTGTATTTGGGTGACATATCTGTAGTGTTAACCAGATCAGGAGCAAAGGACTATGAATTTATTCATAGGATATTTGGGAAAGACCATTGAAAAAGTTTGCTGGAGGCAGGGGGCAAAGTTTGGGATAACTCTTAACATACCATAGCAAGATTTGAAAGGCAGGCTTGAGACATAAGAGACTGCTCATTTATTTTACTTGTCAAAATAAGAGAAGTAAATGAATATTATGAAATTCCCTGTAGATAAAGAAAACGGCAGGAAAATGACTCAGGGTAAAAAGACACATCTCTTTCAAGTAAAATATTCTGCAAAATAAATTTCACAGGCTGCACAACCTAAAATTTCTAGATTTGTGATGAAATCTAATCTTTTTAAAATATAAGGATAGCACTTGTCCTGCCTAAAATACAAGGTGTTTGTGAACATCAGATCAGAAATGCTTCCTTCAAGATTTTCTTATTTCCTTAACAGTATGATTCAGCAAGTTTGCTCCCTCAACAGATACTCACTGAGTGCCCCTAATATGACAGACACTCTTAACTGCTTGAAACACATCAGTGAACAAAGCAGACAAAAACCTCAGTTTCATGGAGCTTATATTCTATTTGGAGAAATCAGATGATTTTTAAAAATGCATAATAAATAAGTAAATTAGATTGGTGATAAAATATACATGATAAGAGAAAAGAAACAGAACAGTGCAAGGGAAAGATGTATCACCCTATGAATGTCTTAGGGAAAGGCATTTTTTAAAAATTAAAGCAAAAAGATATGCTACTCAGGAGGCTGAAGTGGGAGGATCTCTTGAACCCAGGAATTAGAGTCCAGTCTGGGCCATAAAGCAAGATTCTGTCTGTCTTAAAAAATTTTTTTAAAACCTAAAAATCAAAAGAGATATATTAAGAGAACATTTTTAAAAATTTATTTATTATACTTTAAGTTCTGGGGTACGTGTGCAGAACATGCAGGTTTGTTACATAGGTATACACGTGCCATGGTGGTTTGCTGCATCCATCACCCCGTCATCTACATTAGGTATTTCTCCTAATGCTATCCCTCCCCAATCCCCCCACCCCCTGCTATACCTCCCCTAGCCCCGTAACCCTGACAGGTCCCAGTGTGTGATGTTCCCTTCCCTGTGTCCATGTATTTAAGAGAACATTTATCCACCAAAACAATGAGACAAGCAGTTAGAAAGCACCCTAAGCAAGAGTTGTTGGTATTGCAACTTAACAGATTAGGGAAGAAAGCTAGTTCTGTCAAAGTGATGAAAGGCGTTATATTCAACACATTTTTTTGTCAACACATAGTGTCTAAAATGTATACATAAAAATACCGTGTCCATTAGTGGCCATTTTAAAACTGTAATGACTCAGAAAATTCAAAAAGAACAAAATCTGGCTGGGCGCAGTGGCTCACACATGGAATCCCAACACTCTGGGAGGCTGAGGCAGGCAGATCACTTGAGGTCAGGCGTTCCAGACCAGCCTGGCCAACATGGTGAAGCACCATCTCTACTAAAAATACAAAAATTAGCTGGGCATGGTGAGTGCCTATAGTCCTAGCTGCTTGGGAGGCTGAGGCAGGAAAATGGCTTGAACTTGGGGGTTGGAGGTTTCAGTGAGCCAAGATCATGCCACTGCACTCCAGCCTGGGTGACAAAGTGAGATGTCTCAAAAGTAAACAAATAAATACGTGTTTTAAAAAAGAAGCAAAATCTTACCATGAAGTAAATTTATCCATCTAGTTTATTACTTCTTTCTGAAGATTTTCAGAACATTCTCTCTTGAGAATGATGCTGCACCAAGAGTAGAGATATTTAATACGTTATAATGAGTTATTGTGTAAAATATTATTTTGTAAAATATATGTAAAAGTACTTGGCATAGTACTGGCATATGTAAATGTATTTGTTAAAATGTTTTAAAAATTGTTTAAATGGTCTTAAGGCTATATTTTAAATCTTGTTGGGGATTACTGATTAAATACTTATGAATAAGGAAAAAAGCATTCATTTTTGAGAACTAGATTAGCACTTTCAGGAAATTAATTGCAATTACCCTTGGTGTGTTGGTCTTTATAATATAGACTTAAATCTGTGAACATATGCTCATATTATGTCAGTTTATCCCATAGTTCTTTATCCTTTGCTTTCTTCAATTTCATTCTTCATTATAACACCATTTCCACCAAAAAGTGTGAAATCAAAGGGGAAATGAAAGCTGATAAACAGAGTTTATGTCAGTTCGGCTCTTAAAGTGAGGAAGTCAAACAGCTAGATAAAATTAGGTTTGAGGTGTTTTCATCTGTGGTTTTCCTTTTTTTTTTTTTTTGAGACGGAGTTTTGCTCTGTTGCCCAGGCTGGAGTGCAGTGGGGCAATCTCAGCTCACTGCACCTTCCATCTCCTGGGCTCAAGCAATTCTCCTGCTTCAGCCTCCAGAGTAGCTGGGATTACAGGCACATGCCACCACCATGCCTGGCTAATTTCTTTTTTCTTTCTTTTGTTTTGAGAAGGAGTCTCCCTCTGTCCCCCAGGCTGGAGTGCAGTGGCATAATCTTGGCTCACTGCAACCTTCACCTCCAGGGTTCAGGTGATTCTCCTGTCTCAGCCTCCACAGTAGCTGGGATGACAGGTGCGTGCTGCCATGCCTGGCTAATTTTGGCTAATTTTTGTTTCTTCAGTAGAGACAGGGTTTCACAATTTTGGCTAGGCTGGGCTTGAACTCTCAACCTCAAGTGATCCACCCACCTCCACCTCCCAAAGTACTGGGATTACACCACGCCCAGCCCAGCTAATTTTTTTGTATTTTTAGTAGAGATGGGGTTTCACCATATTGGCCAGGATGGTCTCGGACTCCTGGCCTCAAGTGATCCGCCTGTCTCATCCTCTCAAAGTGCTGGGATTACAGGCATGAGCCATTGCACCCAGGCTCATCTGTGCTATTTCTATCCTCTATAGCCACAAATCATTGGGATTACACTTGTGTGACTCACTGCAATTTCTAGTTTCAGGAACTATTGATATACTGATATGAGAATATTTTATTTAAAAATCAATAGTTATCATCACCATTTCTTCTCTTGAAAAGTGCTTTTGCAAGCAGATAAGAAGGAATACTAGGTGATCATTCAAATCTTGACAATTATTTCTCTTTACAAATGGAAATACAAGGAATGTCCTCCCAAAGATAGACTTGGAAGCAATGTTTATGTTCCCATTGCATCTTGTTTACCTCCCTATTTTAGTTAATTCCTGTATTTTATTTAGTTGTTTGCCAGTGACTCGTCCCCCCAACTGGAAACTCATCGAAGAAAGAGTTGTCTTTCATTTTTGTAGCCCCAGCTTCATAGCACAGGTGAAAGAATAAATAAAGGAATAAAAGATCACTGGGATTTACATGAGGGTTAGCCAAGTTCAACAAAAGCAGGTTCAAAAGTCTCTTATTTGGGAGTAAGCTAGCTCCCTTAACTGCAAGAAGCTCTGAATCAAAATATATCCACTACTCCCTTTTGTGTCTCCATCATCTACATGTAATATAAGTGCATCAAACCATTATATTAACTACTATATCCTATCTGCCTTTTAAATAAATGGAAAAGTTAAAAAACACTGCTATAAAATAGGTTATCTTGCTAGTAGTACATATCCAATGCAAACTCATTAAAACTCTCAAACAGTGTAAAGTAGCTCCCCTTTTTTGGTAAAGTTAGATTAAATCGCTTACACTGTGTAATTGTGATCACTGAATATTCCTAATGATTATTCAGAGACTCAGATACATTCTTGATGAAAAATGATCAAACAAGGTGCTTTATTTTTAACTTAGGACTTCAGAGGGTTTATTATTTTGAAATCAAATCTATTAAACCTCATGAGTATATTATTCCTCATTAAGATTCCTTTTGAATTCATTTGACATGTTAAAGACAGGGTATTAGTAAATAATTTATAAGTAAAAATTATTTATAATATTAACTTAGAAATTAAAGTGAATAGAGCATAAGAAAAATGAAAAAAAAAAGACAAGTAACTAATAAGGTAAAACTAGACAGGAATTTCACAAGGTTAATTGTAGTACTTCTAGAACATTCTTAGCTTATCATAAATAATTTTACTAGCTATTTTATTTAGTATTAGTTGTCAATTTAACTCATTTCGTAGGCCAACTAGTATTGTGATTAAGAACTTTTTAAAAAGCAAGACAATTATGTTCAAGTTTCCTTCATTTAATCAATATGGGATTATAGTAAATGAGGCTATAAAAAGATGTTCCTGGTGATCCATAAACCATTATAAAAATATAAAGCATTATTATTACACAACTGTATGTGTATAATTTTGCCTAGTAATCAGCTTTTTGTTTATGGCAGCTCTGTGCAAAATTCCTTCTGCTGCTAAATAACGTAAAAGAAGACAGTGGTTTTTTAACATTTTTGTTTGTTGGCCCCAAGTAGCGTTCCTTTGAAACAAAATCCCCCAATAAATCCATCTGAGTGTGGTGGTATATGTCTGTAGTCCCAGCTACTTGGGGACTGAGGCAGGAGGATTGCTTGAGCCCAGAAGTTTGAGGTCAGCCTGGGCAACACANTCCATCAACCCAGAAAGAGTTTGGAGTAATATCTATGCTGTTATTGGACCAGGAGAACAGAAACAGCTATTTTAAGTTTAGGATGGCAGTAAAGGTAGTATTGGGGGCTGATGTAACCAGTTTTGAAAGCAAGAGAACAAACATTATTATAAATGATGGTTGATAATTGACAAGATGAAGAACTGACACATTACTATTAAGCCAAGGAAGTTTGGCTAAGATGGATTTTATAAGAGCTCTTTCTTCTACTCACCAATAGAAGGGGCTCCCATCTGTCCTCCACTAAGAATTTATCTGTGCTTCAGCTGGGCGTGGTGGCTCACACCTGTAATTCCAGCACTTTCAGAGGCTGAGGTGGGCAGATAACAAGGTCAGGAGTTTGAGACCAGCCTCGCCAACATGGTGAAACCCCATCTCTACTAAAAAAAAAATAAAAAAAAAAAAAAAAAGTGGGGCTGGGCAGGATGGTATGCGTCTGCAATTCCAGCTACTTGGGAGAATTGCTTGAACCAGGGAGGCAGAGGTTGCAGTGAGCCAGAATCGTGCTACTGCACTCCTCCCTGGGCGACAGAGCAAGACTCTGTCTCAAACAAACAAACAAAAATGTCTCTGTACTTCATCTATCTTCTTTCTGCTCCCAAAAGAACTATGTGTCTGCCCCAAAATAGAAACCTTTAACATGTTCCTGTAGTAACCAGTTCTCATAAAATACTAACCAATAGTTAATTAAGTCATTTTGGGGATGATTACCTGGCTTTCATTAGATCCAATCTTATTGTTTAGAGGTACTATGTATAGACAGATAGATAGAGAGACAGAGAGAGACAGACAGATAGAGCCTACCCTGGATCACTATTGCATGAGCTTACTCTCAGCTCACAGTATCTTAAAAATAGGTTATCTTTATTCTAACTATTCTCTTTATAACACATTTTTCACCCAGTGAAATCAGCATTAAAAATATGTGCTACGATTGCTTCATCTAAGTAACATAATGCCAGAAAGCCAACTTGTAGTCATAGTGTTTATTTAGCAAAAATATTTTTAACTGGCTACTTGGCATCATGTATATGCAACATCAAATAATCACTGAAATGTCATCAAATATAATTAGCAAAAATATTTTTATCTGGCGATTTAGCATCACATATATACAACAATAAATATTCATTGCAGCAAGTCATCAAATATGAGTTTTTATCTTATTTTAATCAAATTCATATAAAGACTAGTTAATGATAGAATACAGCCTTTTCAGCTTTTCTTCTTATTAAATGTTAGGGAGCACAATTACCATCCGAACAATCATATTAATAAATTTTCAAATATTTTGCTAACGTAAAAATAGTTTAAATTTATACCTATTTATTTTCCTAATCTAAGTTTTAGCAGTTATTCACAAAGTTAATTTTGTTCCATTTTTCTCCAGTTTCAAATACATACACACAAATCTGTTTAAATTTTCACTCACTTAATTTTAATTGCATTTTCAAAATGTATAAATGCTTTTTCTTGTCAAAAGATGACAGTAAGTTATTTGCGTGAAATAGTTGTAGTAGAGGGAATTCTAGCATTTTAAACACAATAAATATCACTTTCTTTATTAAAGAATTCCAGAATGTAAAAGCATACTTAAAGTTGTTTTGAAGAAACTATTTCAAAGAGCAGTCATGTGATGAGATTATTGTAATCTCAATGTCTGAAATCTAGACTACAGATTTTAAATATTTTCATTTTTAGGTATGCTACTATAATTACGTACTATGAATTAGGTTGCTGTCCTATATAACAGCCAACTAAAATTGCAATCTTGTTTTATTTTATTAGTTTTTCAGATCTAGAACTTCAGCCAATGCAGCATGTATCCAAAAAGAGGATCTTTTCCGTATCCACGAGCTGACACTAACTTTTTTAAATTAAGAAAGGAAAGCTAGATTACAATTACATACTCACCTTTCAGTGTCTTGAAATATTCCGGCAAAATTAAAATGAATGTGATCACTACTGCCACAAATAATTTAAGGAGAGCTGTTTTTGTCATGTTTCTTCACATGACACAAATGTGTTCCCTTCCAGTACATTCATGGTATGTTGCTTCCTGCTTTAAGTTTCAACTCGACAGTACTTTAGGTTAATGCAATTCACCTCATACTCACTTCCTTTTGAGTAAGACTTAAAAAAAAAAAAAAAAAAAAAAGAGGTCTTAAACTGAGAGACTTCACTTTTGAGTCACTTTACATTAAAAAAAAAAAAACCCTCCAATAAATACTTTCAAACCATTTACTTATACTTCTAAGCAAGAAAGGTAAATAAATGATCTCAAGAAGCAAAGGGATCTTCCCCCCAGAGAAACTGAAGCTATTTTCCCTTGTTTACCAATTTATGAATATAAACCCACAATATACTCCCAAAAATAAAATGGTGGGCTGAGCGAAGTGGCACACACCTATAATCCCAGCACTTTCGGAGGCCAAGGCGGAAGGATCATTTGAGGCCCGAGTTTGAGTCCAGACTGGTCAACAGAGCAAGATCTCCTCTTTATTATAATTTAAATATAGCTAGGTGTGTTGGTGCACCTCTGTAGTCCCAACTACATAGGAAGCTGAGGATCACTTGAACCCAGGAATTTGAGACTGCAATGAGCCATGACAGGCCACTGCACTCTAGCCTTGGTGACAGAGTGAGACCCCTCCTCAATAAAGAAAGAAATAAAAGGGTGAATGTCAGTGATGTCTAGGTTGTATGGACATCACTCATTCATTTACTTTTTTTTTTTTGAGACGGAGTCTGGCTCTGTTCCCCAGGCTGGAGTGCAGTGGCATGATCTCGGCTCACTGCAATCTCTACCTCTCGGGTTCAACCAATTCTCCATCCTCAGCCTCCTGAGTAGCTGGGATTACAGACATGTGCCATCAGCCCCAGGTAATTTTTGAATTTTTAGTAGAGACAGGTTTTCACCATGTTGGCCAGGCTGGTCATTTACTTAATAAATGACTATTGATCCCTGTTTAGTGCCAGGTGCTGTGCTGAATTCTGGTGTTCAGTATATCTAGAAGATAATACAGTACAAAAAGGATAAACTGGGGACACATGTAAAATTTTGGTTCTACTTTACTGTATTCTAGCAGTCTAATGGAACTCATTAACATTATGACTATAAATACAGTAATTATTGTTAAAGAATCCACATTCCCAGTTCCCATGTCAAAAAGAAAGATATCTTCATTATAATAATCCCAGTGAAATAAAATACTTTGTCTTAGAATATAAATGAATGGTAAGGAGAATTTATGGTGTATAAAGCATACATGCAAACAAATATTATTGTTTAGAAAATCCAGATATCCGCTGCTCCCATTGTTGTTGTTTTCTGGTTTAAAAAAAATCAAAACTACATTGAGATACCATCTCACGCCAGTTAGAATGGCGATTATTAAAAAATCTGGAGACAACAGATGCTGGAGGATGTGGAGAAACAGGAACACTTTTACACTGTTGGTGGGAGTGTAAATTCGTTCAACCATTGTGGAAGACAGTGTGGTGATTCCTCAAGGACCTAGAAATAGAAATTCCATTTGACCCAGCAATCCCATTACTGGGTATATATCCAAAGGATAATAAATCATTCTACTATAAGGACACATGCACATGAATGTTCATTGAAGCACAGTTTACAATAGCAAAGACCTGGAACCAACCCAAATGCCCATCGATGATAGACCGGACAGAGAAAATGTGGCACCTATACACCATGGAATATTATGCACCCATCAAAAACGATGAGTTCGTGTCCTTTGTAGGGACATAGATGAACCTAGAAACCTTCATTCTTAGCAAACTGACACAAGAACAGAAAATCAAACACCACGTGTTCTCACTCATAGGCGGGTGTTGAACAATGAGAACACATGGATACAGGGAGGGGAGCATCACACACTGGGGTCTGTTGGGGGAAATAGGGGAGGGACGGTGGGAGGTGGGGAGTTGGGGAAAGATAGCATGGGGAGAAATGCCAGATATAGGTGAAGGGGAGGAAGGCAGCAAATCACACTGCCATGTGTGTACCTATGCAACAATCTTGCATGTTCTTCACATTACCCTAAAACCTAAAATGCAATTTAAAAAAAATGGTACCACATATATCCAGTCCTTTTCTTTCTGCTCACTCCCTCCTATACCCCTACCACCTACCCATTTACATTTACAGTATCCGATTTCTTGTTATCATTCACCCAAACCTGAGCTCTATGGAACAATAGGTGGGTAGGGAGTAAGAAGTAGGAGGTAAAGGCTGTGCTGTGAATACACTGTGAGCATGAATTAACTCTTTTCTTCTGATTGGACAATTTGATGAACAGATGGGAATCATGGGTTGAGACACATTGGGACCTGAGTCTAAGAACAGTCAAGGCCAGATGCATTGGCTCACACCAGTAATCCCAGCATATTGGGAAGGGAAGGCAGGTGGATCACAAGGTCAGGAGTTCAAAACCAGCCTGGCCAAGATGGTGCAATGCTGACTCTACTAAAAATACAAAAATTAGCTGGGCATGGTGGCATGCACCTGTAATCCCAGCTACTCGGGGGGCTGAGGCAGGAGAATTGCCTGAACCCAGGAGGCGGAGGCTGCAGTCAGCCGAGATCGCACCACTGAACTCCAGCTTGACACCTGGTAACAAATCAAGACTCTATCTCAAAAAAAAAAAAAAAAAAAAAAAAAAAATAATTAATTCTTCCCCCTTTTTCTTTTTTTTTATATTTTTCTGTGAATAATAACCCCCTTCCTTTTTTTTTTTTTTTTTGAGGCAGTCTCACTCTGTCAACCAGGTTGGAGTGCAATGGTGCCATCTCAGCTCACTGCAACCTCTGCCTCCTGGGTTCAAGCAATTCTCCTGCCTCAGCCTCCAGAGTAGCTGGAATTACATGCTCCCACCACCATGCCTTGCTAATGTTTGTATTTTTAGTAGAGAGGGGGGTTTCACCAGGTTGCCCAGGCTCGTCTCAAACTCCTGAGCTCAGGTGATCCGCCCACCTCGGCCTCCCACAGTGCTGGGACTACAGGTGTGACACTTCCCATTCTGACCCTGTTGTGATTCCCCAGGTGTTCTGACTCTTATTTTTGAATACAAGCATTCTAGCCATAATTTTAACCAATGGAAATGAAATTTATCACGGAAGTACTGACTTGCTGTGACACTGCTAACTCACTTTTATTCTTGATAAATTTTCTAAAAAGGGTAGTTAAGCCACTCCAATTTTTTGCACCTTAATTTTGGTTAATTAGGTTTTAGTTTTTAACCAATTTTCATTAACAATTTTTATTAATTTTGGGGAAATTAATAAATTAGTATGTATTCTTTTCTATGTAAAGTTTGTTAGTATGTATTCTTTTCTATGAAAGTTAGTATGTATTCTTTGTTAGTATGTATTCTTTTCTATGTAAAGTTTCCAACAACAGTTTGGTTCATTTATTGATTATTTTGTCTATTTCAAAGTTAACTGATTTGGGAGGGGTTTTTTGGTGGTACTATTGTTAGTGGTGGCAGAGATCGGAATCGGAGTTACCCCAAGTTACCAGCAATGAAACCATACATGTCTGCAACAATCTCAATTCTTACCTCCTCAGAAGAAAGAATTCAACTGAGGGGCATGAAGCAGAGGAGAGACAGAGGTAAGTTTCATAGCAGGAGTGAAAGTTTATTAAAAAGCTTCACGACAATAAGGAAAGAAAGGAAAAGAAGGAAAGTACAACTTGGAAGAGGGCCAAGTGGGCGATTTGAGAAACCAAGTGCCCAGCTTGACCTCTTCACCTGGAATTTTATATGTTGGCATACTTCTGGGATCTTGTGTTACATCTCCCCACTCCTGAGATCTTATCGGGAAGCTGCTGATCACTTTCAGGTGTTTTCTATCTGTTAGGAGACTGCCTTTCCCTTGTACCAGCTGTGACCAATTATTACTTCAGAGAAACAACCACATGACCATCATCTGATGGTCGCCCAACACTCCTGGACTGTGTTGGAGAGGAGCCTTCTCTTGCTCTGCACATATCTGACTAGCTACATACTGTAACACTATTTCTTCCAGACCTGCACTGCCCACACACAGCCCCCGCCAGTCTGACCTCAGACTCGTTATCCTATGGACACCTGAAAAGCAAAATTATCCAGCAGTACCATGGGTCCTTTGTTTTCAAAGGGCTGGCTCCTGCTCTGCAACTGGTTTTTCTGGAGATGTTCAGATGCTGAGTGTTGGGAGAGCAGGCCAGGGGCCCAAAGGCCCAGACCACAGCCTGGCTGCTCTGAGGATATAAGAATCAGTGTCTCAAAGTCAGTCTGTTGTTCACTTGCTGCACATCAGTGTTTCATCTCTGACTTAGCAAATAATGAGAAAATTGAGATATGCACCCAGATATTTCAGGAATCTCTATTGTCCATTTTTCTGTATATCAATAACCCAATTTTATGAAAAGTTTTCGTCATTCTACCAACAGTTACTAACTGCTTAAATTGATAGCAGAGCAATAGCCAATGACAAGTTCCAAATATCTTATGGGCCAAATCTTCTAAGATTCAATAGCATAGGTTCAAATTGAAGGTTTGAAATATTTTGCTTTTTTTCCACTGTCGTAATTCACCCACTAAAAATGTTTTATAATTGAAATTGCCAAATACATCAAGTACATCATTAAATCTTTGCTTTTTTTTTTTTAAGCAAACTCTTGCTCTGTCACTCAGACTGGAATGTAGTGGTGTGATCTCGGCTCACTGCAACCTCAGCCTCTCGAGTTTAAGCGATTCTCCTACCTCAGCCTCCCAAGGAGCTGGGACTACAGGCGCATATGCCTGGCTAATTTTTTGAATTTTTAGTAGAGACAGGTTTTGCACCGTGTTAGCCAGGATGGTCTCCATCTCCTGACCTCGTGATCCGTCCCCCTCTGCCTCCCAAAGTGCTGGGATTATAGGCGTGAGCCACTGTGCCCAGCCAAGTCTTTACATTTTAAACACCAGCAATCAGTAAAATTTAAGAGTTAAGCTGCAGTCTTTCATAGGTAATCTAACTTAAAATGATAGTGCCTCAGAAATA